GTGCATTCTGGATCTGGCATAAAACCAAAATGTTTCTTCTCTAAGCATTAAAATGTTTGTAATTTGCACAGTAGCTGTTGCTTTGTTTCTTGGGCTCCTGACTTTCTGACTGCAGTCCCTTGCCTTTCAGTTGCTTATGTGCGGTACTGGAGATATCAGTGTCTGTGACTTCAAGGCACACGCTGTAGTGGTAGGAGGATCTTGGCACTTCCGTGAGAAGGTAAGTGAAAGGATTTCTCCCTCCTGCTCGCTGAAACCAGTTATTCCAACTACAGCAGAAGACAATTTAAACTGGGAACGAATTTCTTGGTTGTAAATTAAGCTCCCAGAAGTACAAAGCGGAAGATTTGAGGGTGAGGAGTGGGATTGCGCACGTTATGAAATATTTCCCCCCCAGAGATACCGTTCAGCCTGGCTGGCTAGAGATGATGCTTAATCAGTTGCTAACAGGAAAAAAATCAACAGCAGTGATCTTTTTAAGAAAAGCCAACAAAGCGCTAATTAAGAACAGTTCGGCAGGGAATCGGGAGGAACTGGTGGGAATTGCCGCTACTGAAGGCGTTCTTGGTGATATACTTATCTCTAAGGGATGCTTGAAGATCATGATTGCAGCCCACGTGGAGTATTTGGAATTCAGTGCTCTGGTAAAGACTATTGATGTAGCCTAAATTTGTATCCTGTAATTGTTCCCATCCCTCCCTGCCTTTCCCAGTGGGAGGGATATGGGGACGGTAGCAACTTCATTTAGAAAAATAACGGAAGCTGCAAAAGTACCAGAGGATGTGAAAAAGCAAAAGATTAGCATAGTGCAAGAAGCAAATGAGCTTCTGCATTGTAAACCTACCTCATTACCTGTTGCGGGTATTTCTGAAAATAAAATCTCTGTGGGGAGAGCAGAAGCTCTTCTGCTTTAAGGGAAAGGACTGGTGGGAGGTAGTAGCGTGGGACATGACTTAACTGACAAGAAGCAGCTATGTAATACTTGCCTTTATGTGTCACTCTGATTAAAACAAAAAAAAAATTGACTATTAGGAGGGCACTTGCTTGCAAGGGCAATTGACTGATCTTCTTGCAACTTGCTTATGTGCTTATTTGATTTGCTTGGCTGACCTGGCTTTACTTTCCCTGTTTCCTAACAGGTCATGAGGTGGTTTTGGACTGTGGTCTCCAGTTTCACGCAGGAAGAGCTGGCCAGGCTCTTGCAGTTCACAACTGGTTCCTCCCAGCTGCCCCCAGGAGGCTTTGCTGCGCTCTGTCCATCCTTCCAGATCATTGCGGCTCCAACTCACAGTACTTTGCCAACAGCCCACACGTGGCAAGTATCCTGGGGTGGTAGGACTTTCTGCATCGTGCTTTTGGGAATGACACTGCTGGCTGTGTGCAAGCAGTGTATAATACGTGACGTGTGTGATTCTTCTGTCAACCTCTCTAAAAGCGGCTGATGGGGATGGACCCCTCTCCAATCTAGTCTGAACAGAGTTTTTCTTCTGTTTTGCAGTTTTAACCAGCTGTGCCTCCCTACTTACGACTCCTATGAAGAAGTGCACAAGATGCTGCAGCTAGCTATCAGCGAGGGTTGTGAGGGCTTTGGCATGCTGTGATTTCCCCTTTCCAGGAGACCACACTTAACCTCCTGGCTCTTCGTGGCAAGACCCGGGTTCAATCCTCTGCTTGTTCTCCTTCCCTTCACATGGGCAATGGAGGCAGAGCAAAGACTCCGTATAAAGGAATTTGTCATCCAGAAGATGTCATGTGGCCTTTCCGTATTCCAAATGTGTCATCAAGAGCTCATCTTTTCCCTTTCCCTCATTCTCCCTTTGGTTCAGTCTGAAACAGCAGAAGGACTGTGATGCATTCATCAGGGAGATATTGCACTTGATTTCCCTGCACACTGTGCTCCTTTCCTTCTGTGAGAAGGTGAACTTCATAAGCAGAAGTTACAGTGAGGTGCAGGAGATGTGCTGAGCTGCCTTTATTGTAGCTCTCTGGGAGGAAGAGGGAAGACCAGCATGGAGCTCTCCTGGAAACCTGGCTCATGGGAAGCCTTTGTAACTTTCCATGTCTTGTCTCAGCTCCCCCAGTGATGCTCCCCAATAGCTCATCTGACTCTGTGACTCACAGGGTTGTCCATCCTTTCAGCACCTGACCCAGAAGGGTTTCTGGTTCTACTTCCCCATCTTGCTCTGGATGCTGCTGTCGCCTGTGCCACAGAGAAAAAAGGGGTGGTATCCACTGGCGGGAGTAACCCAAAGGGGAGAACAATCTCGTTGGAGCACATGTGCTGGCCCTGACAGTGATCCTGTACTACCTCCACCAGGGTCCAGCAGCAGAAGCGTCCTTCTCCAGCAGTGGCTGGTGATGAGCCTCTGCAAATGAACTGGAAGTGGAGTTTCTCCTCCATTGAATGTTTCTGACAGTGATTAATGATGTTGCACAGGAAGCTGTCCCATGCCCTTGCCTTCTTCTCCCTTCCTCAGGAAAGAGAGTATGGGCATGAGTGAGATCCCTCAATGCTGAGCACCAATGCCTATCCCACATTCACCTTCAGGGTATGTATGTTCTGTAGTAACAGTGACAGGTCAGTGAGCAGCTACAGTGTGCACTGGGCTTGTGTCTGTTGTGGGGGTGATGGTACCAGGCAGGATGTGGTACCTCCGCCCTGGCATCCCACAGGGTCTTGGCTTCTACCTCTATCATGCAGCAGCCTGAGGCTTCTCTTTTCCT